GTCCACAGCAGACACTCTGCTGGCTGTTGTATTGGATCACACGTCGGACACGTCCCAAGTGTCTAGGACTGTTGGCGAATAATTTGTGCAGATCCCAGTAAGGTTGCCTTCTGCAGCTGGAGGATGGTAATTTTGTCAGCGCCGATTGTGTTTAAGTGCAGGCCAAGGTCTTTAGGCGCTGCACCCAGTGTGCCAATCACCACTGGGACCACCTTGATTGGCTTGTGCCAGAGTCTTTGCAGTTCGATCTTTAAATCTTCATAGTTGCTTCTCTTCATCCTGCTGTCACCTAGGATTGCAACATTGACAATCCAGACTTTGTTTTTTAACACGATCATGAGGTCAGGTGCTCCAGAACATTTTATGGTTTGTCCGTTTGGCATCTCTATGCCCTTGCTGTGAGTAATTTTCCCTTTCTTCGATGCCACTGTGGCACATTTGTCTAGGCCGAACTCCATACTGATGTCAGTGCTGAAGATTCTGACTGTGTTGGTCAGTGACTGGATTTCTGTTTCTGATTTTCCATAAAGCTTTAGATCATCCATGTACCGCAAGTGGGAAATTTTTGGTGAATTTCTTGCTGTTTGGTAGCCCAGGTTTGTTTTCTGTAGAATGACGGACAGGGGGACCACAGCAGTGGTGACAGTGAGTCACCCTGGAAAATTCCTCTCTTGATGTTAAAAGTTCCATAGCTTTCGTTGCCCACAAACAACTTAGTTTTTCATTGTTTCATTGCATTTTCGGTGAACTTTCTAATATTTTCACAAACCCCGCTCTTTATTTATTTATCATGTCAGGCAACCAAACAGTTGTATTACATTTTTGACAGAACAAACAAACAAACATACAAAAGACACAGAGTTTGCAAGCTTGGTAGTTGATGAAATGTCCTTTGACCAGTATCTGGCCACTTGGAGTGCTTCTGGTGTTGCCGCAAGGAGGTCCTCCATTGTGCATCTAGCAGGGCTCACGTTGCATTGCAGCAGGTGGTCTGTGGTTTGCTCTTCTCCACACTCGCATGTCGTGGATTCCACTTTGTGGCTCCATTTCTGAATGTTGGCTCTGCATCTCGTGGTGCCAGAGCGCAGTCTGTTCAGTGCCTTCCAGTTTGCCCAGTTTTCTGTGTGCCCAGGGGGGAGTCTCTCATTGGGTATCAGCCATTGATTGAGGCTCTGGGTTTGAGCCTGCCACTTTTGGACTCTCGCTTGCTGAGGTGTTCCAGCGAGTGTCTCTGTAGATCTTAGAACACTATTGCTTGATTTAAGTTGTTGACGCGCTGGCTGATGCCCAAACAAGGGATGAGGTGGAGATGTCACTGCCTTGGTCCTTTCACTATTGGCTGCTACTTCCTGGCGGATGTCAGGTGGTGCAATACCGGCTAAGCAGTGTAATTTCTCCAGTGGTGTAGGGCTCAGACACCCCGTGATAATGCGGCATGTCTCATTAAGAGCCACATCCACTGTTTTAGCGTGATGAGATGTGTTCCACACTGGGCATGCATACTCAGCAGCAGAGTAGCACAGCATGGCAATGTAGACTGCTCAACGGAGGACCTTCCCACAGCGACAGCAGAGGCACTCCAAGTGGCCTGCTTCTGGTCAAATTACATTGATAGGGCTCAGGCTGCATTGTAGTAAGCGGTTTGTGGTTTTGCTCTTCTCCACACTTGCTTGGCATGGACTCCAATTTATAGCCCCATTTCTTAAGGTTGCCTCTGCATCTCATGGTGCCTGAGTACAATTTCTTCAGCGTCTTCAAAGTCACCCAGTCTTCTGTGTACTCAAGAGGAAGTTTCTCATCTGATATCAGACACAGATTGAGATGCCGGGTTTTCGCCTGCCACTTTTGGACTCTTGCTTGCTGAGGAGTGCCTGCAAGTATCTCTATAGAACTCAGGAAGCTATTTCTTGATTTAAGGGCTTGGCATGCTGGATAGTATCGGAATAGAAGATGGGCCGGAGATGTCACTGCCTTGGTCCTTTCATTACAGGTTGCTACTTCCTGATGGATGTCAGGTGGTGCGATACCGGCTTAACAGTATAATTTCTCTAGCAGTGTTGGGCGTAGACATCCTTTGATAATGTGGCATATCTCAATCAGAGCCACATCCACTGTTTTAATGTGCTGAAATATATTCTACAATGGGCATGCATATTCAGCAGCAGAGTACCAAAGTGCAAGGGCAGATGTCTTCACTGTGTCTGGTTGTGATCCCCAGGTTGTGCCAGTCAGTTTTCGTATGATGTTATTTCCAGCACCCACTTTTTGCTTGATACTCAAGCAGTACTTCTTGTAGGTCAGAGCACGGTCCAGAGTGACTCTAGGTATTTGGGTGTGAAGTCATCTTCAGAGCTTGAGATGCTTGTCTGTTCTTAAGGTGAAAAGCACACGTATGTTTAGGTAGCAGAATATCCCTCTGGAATGTGTCCAATCCATGTGTTTTAGATGGATTAGGAGTCAGCTGGTTTTCCCTGTAATCGGCAGTAAGAGCATCTAAAGCTTTGGAGATCTTCTGCTCAACCATTTCAAAGCTCCATCCTCGGGCAGTGATGGCATGATCGTCAGCATAGATGCTTTCTGTCCCTTCTGGCAATGGCTGGTCGTTTGTGTAAATGTTAAAACATTGATGGAGCAATGGAAGCACCAGAAGTGACTTGCAGTCTCCAAGTGCTAAACAAGTATAAAGCAACTGTTTAAAGCACAGCTGTAAATCCCAACTACTTGTATCTTTTCTCTTTTATAGAACCCGCGTCCTCCTCCAAAGAGCTAGAGGTGCTCCTCGGACGTTGTTCAGAAATGATTTCAGCTGTTCCTTATTTTATCTGCCGTTACTGCCAGCAATGTCAGAGCACCAAACACAGGCACCGGGCATTTTCGACCACGCTCTGCAATTGGTGAGCGCTCTCCTTTACAGCTCATATACTGTTGCATGGACTCAGAACAAGAATTATTACACGGCTTGCCATGATGATGATGATGGTGATGATTACAAGACAGTGTGTTCTCAGTGGTGATCGGCACACTGGGTGCAGTGCCTAAAGACCTTGGCCTGCACTTAAAAACAATTGGCGCTGACAAAATTACCATCTGTCAGCTGCAAAAGGCCATCTTTTCCAACGTGTGATCAAATACAAAATACAGCAGAGTGATCTTGTTTGCTGTGCACTAATCTTGCTGTGTATCTAATAATAATAATAATAATAATAATAATAATAATAATAATAATAGATCAATTCATTAACAATAACACAAAGACTCTGACACAAGCCAGTTAAGAGGTCCCAGTGGTGATCGGCCTAAAGACCTTGGCCTGCACTTAAAAACAATTGGCGCTGACAAAATTACCATTTGTCAGCTGCAAAAGGCCATCTTGTCCAATGTGTGATCAAATACAAAAGACAGCAGAGTGATCTTGTTGTCTGTGCACTAATCTTGCTGTGTATCAATAATAATAATAATAATAATAATAATAATAATAATTGATTAATTCATTAACAATAACACAAAGACTCTGACACAAGCCAGTTAAGAGGTCCCAGTGGTGATCGGCACACTGGGTGCAGTACCTAAAGACCTTGGCCTGCACTTAAACACAATCGGCGCTGACAAAATTACCAACAATTGGCGTTGACAAGATTACTATCTGTCAGCTGCAGAAGGCCACCCTACTTGGATCTGCATGCATTATTTGCCAATACATCACCCAGCCCTAAGGAGCCCCTGGTGGCGCAGTGGGTTAAACCCCTGTGCCGGCAGGACTGAAGACCAACAGGTTGCAGGTTTGAATCCGGGGAGAGGTGGATGAGCTCCCTCTATCAGCTCCAGCTCCTCATGCGGGGACATGAGAGAAGCCTCCCACAAGGATGATAAAACATCAAATCATCCGGGCGTCCCCTGGGCAACGTCCTTGCAGACGGCCAATTCTCTCACAACAGGAGCGACTTGCAGTTTCTCGGGTCGCTCCTGACACGACAAAAAAACAAAAACAAACAAAACCCAGCCCAAGACACTTGGGAAGTGTCTGACGTGTGATCAAACACAAAAGACAGCAGAGTGATCTTGTTTGCTGTGCACTAATCTTGTTATGTATATAATAATAATAATAATAATAATAATAATAATACTTATTTTCCTGCCTCTCTATGCGACTCAAGGCAAAGTACAACAGAATTGAAATAGAACGATAAAGACACACAATGCTTTTAACATACATATAAAACAAGACCACAGCAATCAAATGTAGGTTAAAATGCACAAATAATATGGTAATAGTAAAAAGTCCTAAACACCATTGTATGTGTTCTTTTTTCACTCCTTATAGGTTGCCAGCCAAAACCAGCAGCTATTATGACTTGTTGGGGATCAAGCCAGAGGCTTCCTTGGAGGAGATCAAGCAAGCCTTCTTCAGCAAGTCAAAAAAGGTATGTCACAGCATTTGTGGGGCAGGTTGCCCTTTGTTTACTAGTTGAAAAGGAGCAGACGATAGGTTTTGCTGTGCAGTTATATTTTGATAAAGGGTTGGCTTTCTATTACAGGCAAACTACCTGTAACTACCAACCATCAAATAGGCAGTAAGGGATACAGAGAGGAAATGACAAGCCTTTGAGGACTAAAACTATGCTCAAACAAAGTGTTCAAAGGACTACATTAAAACAATTGGAATACAGGTCTTGCCTACTCAAATTTTTCGGGAGGGCTTTGATGGTGTCATCCGGCATCACATATTAATGTTGGACTCGATGGACCTTGGGGTCTCTTCAAATTCCAGGATTCTGTGTTTTGGATTGGATGGCCATCTGTTGGGAGGGCTTTGAAGGTGTCTTCCTGCATCACATAATAATGTTGGACTTGATAGCCCTTGGGGTCTCTTCAAACTCTAGGATTCTATGATTCAGACTGGATGGCCATCTGTTGGGAGAGCTTTGATGTTGTCTTCCTGCATCACTTAATAATGTTGGACTCGATGGACCTTGGGGTCTCTTCAAATTCCAGGATTCTGTGATTCTGATTGGATGGCCATCTGTTGGGAGGGCTTTGAAGGTGTCTTCCTGCATCATAGGGGTCTCTTCAAACTCTAGGATTCTATGATTCAGACTGGACGGCCATCTGTCGGGAGGGCTTGGAAGGTGTCTTCCTGCATCACATAATAATGTTGGACTCCATAGACCTTGGAGTCTCTTCAAACTCTAGGATTCTATGATTCAGACTGGATGGCCATCTCTCGGGAGGGCTTTGATGGTGTCCTCCTGAATCACATAATAATGTTGGACTCAATAGACCTTGAGGTCTCTTCAAACTCTAGAATTCTATGATTCAGACTGGGTGGCCATCTGTTGGGAGGGCTTTGAAGGTGTCTTCCTGCATCATAGGGGTCTCTTCAAACTCTAGGATTCTATGATTCAGACTGGATGGCCATCTGTTGGGAGGACTTTGAAGGTGTCTTCCTGCATCACATAATAATGTTGGACTCCATAGACCTTGGAGTCTCTTCAAATTCCAGGATTCTGRGATTTGGATTGGATGACCATCTGTTGGGAGGGCTTTGAAGGTGTCTTCCTGCATCATAGGGGTCTCTTCAAACTCTAGGATTCTATGATTCAGACTGGACGCTCATCTGTCAGGAGGACTTTGAAGGTGTCTTCTTGCATCACATAATAATGTTGGACTCGATAGARATTGGGGTCTCTTCAAACTCTAGAATTCTATGATTCAGTCTGGATGGCCATCTGTTGGGAGGGCTTTGATGGTGTCTTCCTGTATCACATAATAATGTTGGAGAATGCTTCTGGTACATGGCCAGACAGCCTGAAAAACTGCTCAAAAATACAGTGTAAGGTTTTGCATTCCTAAGGATCCAATCGTTTGAGCCACTGTCTTGAGATACTCATTTACAGCCATCGCCCCTGTCATTGAAACTCCAGTTTCAACTCCAGGTAGCAGAATATCCCTCTGGAATGTTTCCAATCCATAGTTTACTCAAACAGAGGTTTACTCAAATATAGGTGACTGTTGCTGAAAGAATTGAGGACTGTCTCCTCTCCGTCTGTCCTGAAGGGGACGGTGTCGGGCTGAAAGAATACCAATGGATTATTTCCCTAAGGAAAAGCGATGTGTTTGCCGGAGTGTCCTCATCGGAATATCCTGCCTGCTTTAGATGTCTCTGTGTGTTTAGTCTCCAACAAGAGGGAGGCACTTTCTCAATGTTTTATCTTTTACTCGCCTTCCTTTCGTCTCAATCACGGCACCACATTGTCAAATCTTCTATGTATATAATAAAAGCCAGTGTTTGTATGCGGAGGGAGGGAGGGCGGTGTATGTATCAGTTTTCTCATTGGCTGCTACTTTCACAAGCCACTGTGACCGCTACGAATGGTGAACCTGGACTAAACTTGGCACACATAACCTCCATGACCCACTTTACATCCTGGTGCGGTTTGGGGGAGTTGGACCACAGATTATGGGATTTGTAGTACTTTCAAATGCTTTGGTTCCCACGCACCACTATGACCCCCAACAAAGACTGATGAAGACCAAACTTGGCACACAGCCCCCATGATCCACTCTACATCCTACTGCAGTTTGGAGGAGGGAGGACCATGGATGATGGGACTTGAAGTACCTCGACTCATTTGCCGAGACCGCTGCGACCCTCATCCAATGACTGATCAAGACCAAATTTGGCACTCATAACCCCCATGGCCGCCTTTACATCCCGGTGAGGTTTGGGGGAGGACAGACATGGATGATGGGATTTGTAGTATTTTCAAACCCTTCAGATCCCACAAACCACTGCGCCCCCCCCCCAACAAAGACTGATAAAGACCAAACTTGGCACACAGAATCCCCATGACCCACTCTACATCCTACTGTAGTTTGGAGGAGGGTGGACCATGGATGATAGGACCTGAAGTACCTCCACTCACCTCCCGAGACTGCTGCGACCCACATTCAATGACTGATGTAGCCCAAACTTGGCACACAGAGCCCCCATGACCCATTCTACACCTACATCAATTTTTGAGGAGGGAGGACCATGGATGATGGGACCTGAAGTACCTCCACTCACTTCCCGAGACTGCTGCGACCCACATTCAATGACTGGTGAAGATCAAACTTGGCACACAGAGAACAATGGACAGTGTGCAGCGTGAAATAAACAACCTCTTGCTCCTTTTCCAAGAAGCCCTTCTGGGAGACCCCTGCCCTCATTCTGTTCCAGCCACCGTTTGCTTGCTCCTTCCTTCTCCCTTCCTTCCTCATTTGGGTTGGAGGGCTGCCCGGGAAAATCAGCATTTGTAATCTTCATCTTTGGCGTTGGCTGGCTGGGTGGGAGTGGCGCTCGGCCAGAGCCAATAGAGTCTGTGTACTACTTGCCCCAAACTGGGCTGAAGGGAGAGCAGAGTGATGTGGAAATCTCCTCAAGGTTCTTGTGGGTTTTTTCGGGCTATAGGGCCATGTTCTAGAGGCATTTCTCCTGACGTTTCGCCTGCATCTATGGCAAGCATCCTCAGAGGTATTGAGGTCTGTTGGAATTAGGACAATGGGTTTATATATCTGTGGAATGGCTGGGGTGGGGCAAAGAGTTCTTCTCTGCTGGAGCTAGGTGTGGATGTTTCAACTGACCACCTTCATTAGCATTTGAAGGCCTGGCTGAGCCTGGGGGAAATCTTTTGTTGAGAGGTGTTAAGATGTGCCTGATTGTTTCCTCTCTGCTGTTTTGCTGTTGTAATTTTAGAGTTTTTAATACTGGTAGCCAGATTTTGTTCATTTTCATGGTTTCCTCCTTTCTGTTGAAATTGTCCACATGCTTGTGGATTTCAATGGCTTCTCTGTGTAGTCTGATGTGGTGGTTGTGAGAGTGGTCCAGCATTTCTGTGTTCTCAAATAATATGCTGTGTCCAAGTTTTCAGACATCAGAAGAGCTGCAAGACCAAGAACAAACCACAAAAGATTCCCAACATTATCCCAGGCTCAGCCAGGCCTTCAAATGCTAATCAAGGTGGTCAGTTGAAACATTCACACCTAGCTCCAGCAGACAAAAGTCCTTTGTCCCACCCTGGTCCATTCCTCAGATATATAAACCCATTTTCCTACTTCCAACAGACCTCACTACCTCTGAGGATGCTTGCCATAGATGCAGGCGAAACGTCAGGAGAAAATGCCTCTAGAACATGGCCCTATAGCCCGAAAAACCCCACAAAAACCTAGTGATTCCAGCCATGAAAGCCTTCGACAATACATTGAAATCTCCTCACTTACCCCAAGCAACATCAATCATTAGCTAGAGCCCTTTCTCCCCGCTCGTTCTTTTTTACCTCCTGGCTGACATCATTCCCAGTAGATTTTTTGGGGGCGGGGGGAGGGGGGTTGTGACTAACGTTGTTAGACTTATATATACATATAAACAGTAACTGTATTTTTTTTCACATGGATCTATTTGCCAATCACTGTGGGTCTACTATTAATGCAAGACCCACAGTGATTCCCAGTAGATTTTTAACGTGATTCTACATCAGGGCAGGCTCTTCTTTCTTTGCCAGCTCCCCTCCGTCCTTTCCCCCCTTTTTTAGTTCTCTGCACTCGTGCAGTGAGCATACAATGTTCTGGTAAGGTATATTACATTAGCAAGGAGAAGGGACAGACCAAATCTTTACAATTGGGCATATTCCAAGCCTTGTTGCAAAAGCTTCAGAGTTGGCCTCTGTGCGAGGGACAGATGCCGAAGATTTGGGAAAACGGCTTCCTCCAACCCTCTAATACAGTGTTTCTCAACATGAGGGTCAGGACCCCTGGGAGGGTCGCGAGGGGGTGTCAGAGGGGTTGCCAAAGACCATCAGAAAACACAGTATTTTCATTGGACATGGGGTTCTGTGTGAGAAGTTTGGCCCAATTCTATTGGTGGGGTTCAGAATGCTCTTTGATTGTAGGTGAACTATAAATCCCAGCAACTGCAACTTCCAAATGTCAAGGTCTATTTCCCCCAAATTCCACCAATGTTCACGTTTGGGCATATTGAGTGTCCGTGCCAAATTTGGTCCAGATTCATCATTTATTTGAGTCTCTGGATGTAGGTGAACTACAACTCCAAAACTCAAGGTCAATGCCCACCAAACCTTTCCAGTATTTTCTGTTGGTCATGGGAGTTCTGTGTGCCAAGTTTGGTTCAATTCCATCATTGATGGAGTTCAGAATACTCTTTGATTGTAGGTGAACTATAAATCCCGGTAACTACAACTCCCAAATGACAAAATCAATCCCTCCACCCCCCCCCCCCGTACTAAAATTTGGTGTATTGGGTATTTGTGCTAAATTTGGTCTAATGAATGGAAATATTTACAGTATAATTCATAATAATAGCAAAATTACAGTTGTGAAGTGGCAACGAAATTAATTTTATGATTGGGGGTCACCAAAGCATGAG